TGAGTATTTTTGCATCAATGTTCGTGAAGGAGATTGGTCTGTAGTTCTCTTTGCTAGATGAGTCTTTGTGTGGTTTGGGTATCAGGGTAGCTGTAGCCTCATAAAAAGAGTTTGCCTGGCAAAGTTCTTTCTGCTTCTATTGTGTGGAACAATTTGAGGAGACTAGGTATTAGCTCTTGAAGATCTGGTAGAATTCTGTGCTGAAACCATCCAGCTGTGGGCTCTTTTTGATGACTTCTATTTTCTTAATGGTATAGGTCAATTATATTGTTTATTTGGTCATGATTTAGTTTTGATATGTGGTACCAATCCAGAAAATTGTCCATTTCTTTTATATTTTTCCAATTTTGTGAAATACATGTTTTCAAACTATAGCCTAGTGGTTCTCTGGGTTTCCTTAGTGTCTATTGTTATGTACCCCGTTTCATTTCTGATTTTGTTAATTTGAATATTCTTTCTCTGCCTTTTGGTTAGTTTGGATAAAGATTTGTCTATTTTGTTGATTTTCTCGAAGAACAAACTATTTCATTGATTCTTTGTATTGTTTTCTTTTTTCTATTTTATTGACTTCACTCTCCAAGTTGATTATTTCCTGTGTTCTACTCCTCTTGAACAAGTCTGCTTCTTTTTTCCCTAGAGCTTTGAGGTGTGATGTTAAGTCACTAGTGTGAGATTTCTTCATTTTCATTATGTAGGCATTTAGTGCTATGAACTTTCCTCTTAGCACTGCTTTCATAGTGTCCCATAGGTTTGGGTATGTTGTGTATCCATTTTCATTGAATTCTAGAAAGTCTTTAATTTATTTCTTCCTAAACCCAGAGGTGATTTAGTTGAGCATTGTTCAATTTCCCTGAGTTTGTAGTGGTTCTGCAATTAGTGTTGTTGTTGAATTCTAATTTTGAGCCATGGTGATCTGATAAGATACAGGGGGTTACTCCAACTTTTTGTATCTGTGGAGGTTTGCTTTGTTACCAAGTATGTGGTCAATTTTAGAGAAGTTTCCACGAGAAAGTGCTGAGAAGAAGGTATACTAAATTCTTTTGTGTTTGGGTGAAGTGTTTTATAGATATCTGTTGAGTCCATTTGAGTCATGACATCTGTTAGTTCTCTTATTTCTCTGTTAAGTTTCTGTCTGGCAGACTTGTTCATTGGTGAGAGTGGAGTATTGAAGTCTTCTGCTGTTAGCGAATAGGATTTGATGTGTGATTTAAGCTGTAATGTTTCTTTTACATACGTAGGTGCTCTTGGACTTGGGGCATAGATGTTCAGAATTGAGACTTTATCTTGATCATTTTTCCCGTGAGTGTAAAGTGTCCTCTATCTCTTTTGATTGATATGAGTTTGAAGTCTATTTTATTAGATATTAGGATAGCTACACCTTCTTGTTTCTTAGGCCCATTTGATTGAAAATTTTTTTCCTAACCCTTAACTCTAGAGTAATGTCTGTCTTTCAGATTAAAGTGCATTTCTTGCATGTAACAGAAGGATGGATCCTGTTTTCCTATCCATTCTGTTAACCTGAGTCTTTTTATAGGATAGTTGAATCCATTGATATTAAGAGATATTAATGACCAGTGATTGTTAATTCCTGTTATTTTTTGGTGGTAGTGTTTGTGTGTTTCCTTTCTTTGGGGTTTGCTGGTGTGAGGTTATCTGTTGCTTGTGTTTTTGTGAGTGCAACTAACTTCCTTGGGCTGAAGTTTTTCCAGTACTTTTTGATTTGTGGATAAGTATTGTTTAAATCTGTTTTTGTCATAGAATATCTTGTTTTCTACATCTATGGTGATTGAAAGCTTTGGTGGGTATAGTAATCTGGCTGGCACCTGTGATCTCTTAGTGTCTGTAGCCTATTGAGATGTTGGATGTAATTCTGATAGGTCAGTCTTTATATGTTACTTGACCTTTGTCCTTTGCAGCTCTTGATATTCTTTATTCTGTATTTCTGTGTGTTCAATGTTTTGATTATTATAAAGTGAAGGGCGTTCTTTTTTCTTTATTTCTTTGATCATCCAGTCTGTTTGTTATTCTGTAAGCTTCTTGTACCATCATAAACATATCCTTCTTTGGGAAAGTTTTCTTCTATGATCTTGTTGGATATGTATATTTTTTGTACCTTTGAGCTGGACTTCTCCTATCCTTATTATTCTTAGGGTTGGTCTTTTCATGGTGTCCTAGATATTTTGTGTTAAGAATTTGTTGGTTTTAACATTCTTTGACTGATGAATCTACTTCCTCTATAGTATACTCAGTGCCTGAGATTCTTTCTTCCATCTCTTGTATTCTGTTAGTTTTGCTTGTATTTATAGTTCTTGTTCATTTATGTATCTTTCCCATTTCCAGAATTCCCTCAGTTTGTGTTTTCTTTATTGACTCTATTTCAGTTTTCAAGTCTTGAACTGTTTGAACTTTTTTTTTATTGATTTTTATTGAGCTCTACATTTTTCTCTGCTCCCCTCCCTGACTCTCCCCTCCCCTTTAACCCTCTCCCAAGGTCCCCATGCTCCCAATTTACTCAGGAGATATTGTCTTTTTCTACTTCCCACGTAGATTAGATTCATGTATGTCTCTTTTAGGGTCCTCATTGTTGTCTAGGTTCTCTGGGATTGTGATTTGTAGGCTGGTTTTCTTTATGTTTAAAAATCACTTATGAGTGAGTACATATGATAATTGTCTTTCTGGGTCTGGATTACTTCACTCAAAATGATGTTTTCTAACTCCATCTATTTTCCTGCAAAATTCAAATTATTTTTTCTGTTGTGTAGTACTCCATTGTGTAAATGTACTACATTTTCCTTATTCATTCTTCGGTCAAGGGGCATTTAGGTTGTTTCCAGGTTCTGGCTATGACAAACAATGCTGCTATGAATTTAGTTGAGCACATGTCTTTGTGGCACGATTAAGCATCCTTTGGATATATACCCAAAAGTGGTGTTGCTGGGTCTTGAGAAAGATCGTTTCCTAATTTTCTGAGAAATCGCCACACTGACATCCAAAGGGGCTGAATCAGCTTGCACTCCCACCAGCAATGCAGGAGTGTTCCCTTTTCCCCACAACCTCTCCAGTACAAGTTGTCATCAGTGCTTTTGATCTTGGCCATTCTTACAGGTGTAAAATGGAATGTCAGAGTTGTTTTGATTTGCATTTTTCTGATGACTAAGGATGTTCAGCATTTCCTTAAATGTCTTACAACCATTTTGGATGCTTCTGTTTGAGAGTTCTCTGTTTAGGTCTGTACTCCATTTTTTTTTTTTTTTAAATTGGATCATTTGTTTTTGTTGATGACCAATTTCTTGAGTTCTTTGTATATTTTGGTGATCAGATCTCTGTCTGATGTGGGATTAGTGAAGATTTTTTTCAGTTCTGTAGGCTGTCGTTTTTTCTTGTTGAGTGTGTCCTTTGCTTTATAGAAGCTTTTCAGTTTCAGGAGGTACCGTTTATCAATTGTTTCTCTCAGTGTCTGTGCTGCTGGGGTTATATTTAGGTAAATAAACCCAAGCCTTTAAAGTGTTCACTGAGTTTTGTGATAAGGAAGTTCAATAAAGCAGGTGGTGGCGGCAATGGTTGAACGAGACCACTGTCTCTTAAGAAGAAAGCGAGAGCCGAGGGGTGGTGGCACAGGCCTTTAATTCCAGTACTTGGGAGGCAGGGGCAGGTGGATCTCTGTGAGTTCAAGTCCAGCATGGTCTATAGAGCTAGCGCCAGGACAGGCTCCAAAGCTACACAGAGAAACCCTGCCTCCAAAAACCCTAAATAAATAAATAAAATAGACAAAGTGATAAACAAGGAAGAGAAAATGGGTTAATAGGAAAGCATTTCTTTGGGAGAGCAGAAGAGGACAGGTATGAGGATAGGCTCCTCCCTTCCTTCTTCAGACCAGGTAGGGCGTTTCTCCTCCCAGTCCAGATGCCTACCTGCTGCTCTTCCTTGGGGTATGGGATGGCTTTAGGGCACTAGATCCCAAACGGAGAAAGTCCCACGAGGCATGGTCACTTGCCTTAAGCTCAGCGTGTGAGAAACAGTAAACAGCGAACGAATCACCACAAACACAGTCATGGCTCCCAGGGCCAGGCAGCAGCTATGGTACTGCGGATAACGGTTACCCTGGGCTGTATTGTTCTTTGTGAAGAAGCCCACAGGGGAGAATCGACCCTCACACCACGGACTTCGGGCAGCTTCCTCTGGGAAATTGTGTGTGAGCAGATCCTACAGGCCCAGCGGCACTTTCTACACTTCCTGGGAACCCTGCTGCCCTTAGCATCCTTTTGCCGAACTCCAAGCTCACAACCGTTTCCGACAGCAGCGTTAGGTGTGGGTGGTCACAGCCTCAGGCTCCCCAACGTCCAACTTCCGGTGAGGGAGGTGCGTGCACGCGGAGCCCAGGTTCCCACCCGGCAGCGCCCAGGTTCTCAAGGTTCCGGCACGGGGGTGGGGTGGGTGGAGAACCGTGGGCTCGGGTCTCAGGCGGTTGCAGCTGGCGCGGCCCAGGCGCCGACCCGCGACCCTGTGCGCCGCCCTGACGTCGCGCGGAGGCGACAGGTGGAGCGAGGCAGCGCCTGGGCCGCGCCAGCTGCAACCGCCTGAGACCCGAGCCCACGG